AAGAGATGGTTACATTTAACCGTTTTGACAGTGAAAGGGTGGGACTGAGATGCCAACCTAGTAGCATGCTTAAATTCATGAAGTCTGGAAACCAGCAAAAGCAAATCATCGGAACAATTGCCATGAAAATACTTACAGAAAAGACAGAGGGAAGCCACAGCATGTCTGTGAGAAAGCAACTATAAACTAGATGCCAGATCAGGACCTATCACATTGCATATCATTCTCTGGATTTTGTCGAAGACCTCAAGACTTACAGCAGGGGCACCCGACCATATATGACAGCAATATTCCATGCAAGGACAAATGGTCGATTTATAGATTTGAAGGATGGACTCAGACAAGAAAAACTTTCTGGCATGACACAGAGAACCAACTTTCCTTGCGGTAGATGAAGCTATTGAGTCTACGTATTTGTTCCACCGCATATCAGTGGTCAGCATGAGACCAAGCAGATGTAACAAGTCGCTCTTGTGGAGGTAGGCATCAGCCATTCTGATGAGAGGCAGGGAAGATAAATAGGAGACTGTCCAGTATTTGCTGCCATACAGGAGAACAGATGAAAAATTCATTCCAAAACCTAAACAAAGTATTGGGAAACAGGAAAATGTCATTAGAAACAAAAAAAATATTGCTAAATTGTTATGTGTATGGCAGTGAATGCCGAATGATCTTACTACAGATGAACAGAAATGTGTTTCTACAGAAGGATGCTATGAGTTCTATGTACATCAAGAGTAAGTAAGTAGAATGTCTTAAAGTAACTAGTGACAAAAGGAACACTTTAAGATAGCTGAAATTTCTTGGGTACATAATGAGGAAGGAGGGCTTGGAAAATTTAATACTCACAAAGCAAGAGAGACAGATGAAGTCATTGAAGCATCTACATGATGACCTAGTGAGAATCAATGGCAGAATAGCGGTTGGGAGGCTTGGAAAAGGGAGAAACACTACTGTGTGCCACAAGAGATAGGAAATTGTGGATAGCCATGATCACTGATATCCTGAAGAGACAAGGCACATGGGAGAGTAAGAATATATATTATACTTATTAATATATATTCTCCTATGCATGTAATTGTAATAATAGATTAATTCTTTTCTACTCTTGCACTTCCTATTGATCTCTCTTTGGGCTTCTGGTTTTCAAGTCAAATTTTTTTCTTCAAAAATTGAAATGCAATGTTGATCAATAATTTGTGTTATTTTGTTGTTCTCTATACTTAATATGTGTGTCTTTTTCTCATATTCTTTCACACTCAGTAACTTCTTGCATCTTAGTGTCTTTATTGCCTTGCTTGGGAAATGATAAAAAATGCAACGAATATTCTTGTCAATTCTGCAATGTTTTTAGAAGAATCCACAATGTCCTGAACTGGTATCTCAGATTCAGTCATAATGTGGCTTTTCTGTAAGTTCTATGCTAATAATTTGTTCTATCATACTTTTCGCTTGTGGAACACTTTTTTGGCTCCATGCTTTCCAGCCAAGTTTGATGTTCAAAACTTTAAATGCATTATCTGTCTATATTTCTGAGATAAGGTATCATGTACACTATTTTCATTATTCAGAGCCGACCAAGCATAGAAATGAATAGAATATGGGAACCAGTAATAAGGAGTGCCAGAGGAAAGTGATAATAATAAAAAAATATTGCAATATGAGCTCTGGTAAAAACAAGGAATGCTAACAGTAAAAATTGCAATATCAGCACTGGTAAAAAATGATTGCTGAAGACATTAGGTTTATAAGACCCAGAATTTCCTAAACAGATGTCCTCAAGGACACATGGCACAGTGGATAAATGTGTTGGTTAGATCCATTGGCAGGACCCAAAGAGTGTGAGTTCAATACCTGGTTAAGGAAATGGATAGGGAAATTAACAGGAGATAACTGATAACTAACATCCATTAAACATGGCATGTGGAACTAGAACAGTCTACCCTAGTGAGTGAAATAAAGGGTTCAGTTTGACATTCCAAACACCTGAAGAAGGCTGGAGTGTACAATGGCTGAAATGTTGGTGACAAAGATGAGGACAATAGTATGAATAATGTAAATAGTTTAAACGCATTATTAATCATTATCTTCTTAATTCCTGTTCTTTTATTGTTCTCTCTCCATTATAATGTTTGTCTTTTTTACATATTGTCTCACACTCAGTAACCCCTTGCGCCATAGTGGATTTATTGCTTTTTTGGTTGGAGTGAAATGAAAAAAGCTAGATAGTAATATATATATATATATATATATATATATATGAATGGAAGCATTAGTAATAAAAGTGACACTCAATAATATCAGCTATGAACATGGTCAAAAATGATTGATATATATATATATATATATATATATATATATATATATATCTAGATCATTGGTTCCAAACTGATTGGTATTTCTAAAATTTTGGTGCCCTCCTGTAATATTTAATTCTTACATATTCAAAATTTTACTCCAATTCATGTGAAGGAAGCAAACTGAATGTTCACATGCGTTG